TCGATCCAATGTCACGTTCTGCCCCTGCCTTCCTGACTGTGTCTCTCTCCTGCCCTGATTAGCCCTTATTGTTCTCACCTGCCCCTCGTTTACCTGCCCATGTTCCTGATTTCCCTGTATATTTATACCTCCCTCCTTGTGCCAGTCTTTGTCAGATCATTGTTGTTTGTCGTGTTGTTCTCGTTCCTGCCGTATCCTGTCATTAAACCCATTTTTACTTTATCCGTGCCTGCATTCCTGCCTCCTGGAACGCTCCACCACACATGGTCCATCATCTCCACACCCCCGCAACATGACAGAATGATCTGACCAACCTGGACCTGTGGTGACCTTAACATCTGTTTCTGGAGGATTATTTTTTCTTTTTTTCCCTTTCAGCTGAGGGAGATTCTGACTTGAGGGGTTTTTCGGCGCATCCTACCTGTTTCCGGGGTGGTCTGACCCATTGAGGGGGTTTCGGCGCATCCTGTTTGTGCCCGGGGTGGTCAAACTCATTCTTTCCTGCTGTTCTGCCCCGTCCTGTTTTTTTTTTCAAGGAAGCTGCTTTTCCTGGTTTTTTGATGGAGGTAAAACCCCCTACACACGCCAACATTCTCCGGGGTGGTAGGGCTGGTCTTCCTGCTCCGTGTCGGCTTCCCTTCACCCGAGCCTACGCCTGTTGGATCCAGTCGAGTCATGGTGTGCACCTGCTCAGGACTGTTTGCCGAGTACCTGCTACCGCTCCTGGTTTCCTCGCGTCGCTCCTGCTGTTTCGTCCCACTTCCGGGTCCACGCCTGCAGGGTCTATGCCTGCAGGTCCTTCATGCTGCAGTTCTCTGCTGGGTCCCACGCCTGCTGCTGCAGTTCTCTGCTGGGTCCCACGCCTGCTCCTCCTGCAGTTCTCTGCTGGGTCCCACGCCTGCTCCTCCTGCAGTCTCTACTGGGTTCCACGCCCAGCTGCTGCAATTTAAGTGTCCCTGTCAAGTGTTCCTGTACCAGTCAAGTGTTCCTGTCCCAGTCAAGTCAAGTGTTTCCTGTCAAGTCAAGTGTTTTCTGTCCCAGTCAAGTCTCCCAGTCACAAGTCTCCCAAGTCCAGTGTTCCAAGTTCTCAGAGTCACCGAGTTCAGTGTTCTGGTGTTCCTTAGTCTACTGTGTTATGTGGCCTTGTGGGCGTCTGGTATCCGCCCTTTAAGGGGGGGGGGGGGGGGGGGGGGAAGCGCTACTGTCACGTTCTGCCCCTGCCTTCCTGACTGTCTCTCTCCTGCCCTGATTAGCCCTCATTGATCTCACCTGCCTCTCGTTAACCTGCCCATGTGTTCCTGATTTCCCTGTATATTTATACCTCCCTCCTTGTGCCAGTCTTTGTCAGATCATTGTTTGTAGTCACCATTGTTTTGTTCCTGTCGTTCCCATTCCACCATTAAAACCATTTTTATTTTTCATCCGTGCCTGCTCTCCTGCCTCCTGAACTCTCCACCACACATGGTCCATCACCCCCACACCCCCGCAACGTGACATCCAATCCCTTATCAATTCCAGAGAAGTTAAACAGGTGGCAAAAAACCGACTGAGCACGACTCCTGCAGAATAACTGTCAGTTTCTTTATGATAAATAATCAGTTGTATCCGTATCGGTTGGAACAATCTTCTTGTTTGGTGCAGTGTTGCTGTAGCTTTGGTAGAGTGGGAAAAATCTCACCACAGGTCAGACCTTTGTCCCTGGAGTCTGCTAGTGAGGAGGTGTCCATATAAGGCTAATGACGCTAACATGACAAACATTGTTAGCTGACTAGTTACCTGCAGTATTAACAGGAGAGGACGTACAAACGTCACTGCTGCTGCATCACTAGTCCGGAGCGGGTCACAGCACGTCAGTAACTTTAAGTTTTGACGTGCTTTGTGCCCAAAGGCTTTTGTATATTCCTAACGCTTCCTCCCTTGATGAAATATCTACTTTAGAATTATTGCAAGTTACCCTGTTGTCATGCTTTCTTGTAAAATATAACCAAACCTTCAAGCTTTTGTGCCACTTAGACGCCATGTTTCCTGCTTCCGTAAGCTACGCAACGTGCGCTGTGACGTCATTTACGCAGACCAGAATTGATAAGGGGAATCGTTTTTAAAAGTGGCGAACGATTCCTAGGCACTGAACCAATGGGAACTGGTTTTCGATTCCCAACTGTATTTGGCAGGTTACAGCGGTGCTTTGTCGTAATATAGTCCCAAGTTTAAATCGGCTCCTGCAAATACTCCGTGTTACTTCTTACTTTTCATTTGCAGTCGACATGATTATTGAGCTCAACGAAAATAATTGGTATCATTACTGAGCCATTTGCAACCAAAATGCTACTAGTTCCCATTCACTTCCTTTGTTTATGCTAAGCTAAAGCAGACGGACAGCTGCCAGACCAGGAGAATTACTGTGCTGGTTACAAAAAGCTTTTTTCTTCTTCCGGCTCTTGGAAAGTTCTGAGGCTTTTTTCATCCTCTCCTCCCCATCTTATCCCAAGGCTCTTTGTCTTTTGGTGTACGGCGCTTCTGCATTTTTTGTGGAAACTGGAAAATATTAAAATGGATCTGGTCAGTTGGCCTCTCAATGCGATTTACAACATTTTCTCAACGATGAGAACGGGAGAAGGGGCTCCCGGTTGCCCCTCTGGGACAGAGCCAGCTGGGCGTATCATGGACTCCTGGAAACATTGGAACCTGATCTGCCTCTCTCAACTGTCTGTAGAGGATTCTGAAGACATCTGGATATTCGTGCTGTTTGGCCTGAGTTGTTACCCGGCTTACCGGAAAATTAATGAGTTGTCGAGGAATATTGGCTCAATCCTGGAGCTCAGGGACGGATTACACCGCGCTGTGAACGCACAGACTCATATAATTGTCGATGAGTCATAAGCTTGGAACTTTGGCTGAGATTCAGACTCTGGCACAGAAGGTTGATGCCATCAAGGATAGAGTTGACAGATCAGCACGGATTGGGATAGATTATTCAACGCCATTATTGGATTCAGAGGGGTTGGAGACCAACAGAACTTTAACCCCCAGAGACCCAAATTTAGAAAACTGCAAAATCTTTTAACCTTTCACATGTTGTTCTAGGAGGCCAGATAAACGGGCCTATTTACACATTTTAACAGCCAATAGTGTTGCAGAACTGAACAATAGGACCTATTAGCGATGTAAATGTGGTTTTAAAAAGAAAAAAATGGGGAAGGTTTATTTTTGTAGACTTAAATCTGATGTTGTAATATTACAACCGTGGGTCTCTGGGGATTAAGACAGAGAGGAAATGATCTCTGTCTGGCCCCAAAACAAGTTCTTATCTGAATCTGGTGCCCTTGAGCCTGTGAGGCTGAAGTGATTACTCCCCCTCAGAAGAAATGTGGAATGCTGCCGTTGCCATGGTAACTCTGTCTCCCTATCCCAGCCTAGGCGGGACTGCGACTGGTGAAGGCCGTTGAATCGTTTCCAGGAGTCACTGTGCTCTCTAAAGCCGGGCGTACACTGTGCGACTTTTTCACTCGCAGCGTTCAGCTTCAGCTCAAACTGTACGACTTCCTCGCAGGGCAGATCTCACGAGTCATGTCCTCACACTGTACGACCCAGTTCTCGCATGCGACCTGACTGCTCACACTGTACGTCTGGTAGCAACACGTCGGACCTAAAAATATGCTAAAAATAGCAGTTTTTACTCAACACGTCAGACATTTTTGTCTTGTTTTGCCTGTTGTCCTTTGGGAGTGCTGCAGGAGGACACACAGGGATTTATGGGGGTTGGATGAGGAAAACGAAATAAAGAAAGTAAATCTGTGTTTTGTGATCAGTTTAATTTGACATGAACACGACAAACACGCTTTCTTGACAATCTTTGTGAGTAAAAAAACGTGTAGAAACAAAAACGAACAATGTGTGTTATTAGGGAAATAGCGGGCGAGCGGTGTTGATGCATGATTGCGCATGCGCCGTGAGCGGTTCTGATACTTTTTGGGTCGCAGCTGCTCGCAGCGCCGCTTCAGCAGTGCGATACCCTCACGAGGGACGAGCGAAATTTTAAACACGCCAGAAGTTCGTGCGACCTCACGATTGCTGATCGGCGGCTGGTCACGTGGCGTTAATCGCCTCTCGTAACCCCCTGTACACTACACGACCGCTCGGCGCAAAACTCGCCCCGATGTCGTGGATTCTCGCACGACTGGAAAATCGGCTCAAAAAAGTGAAAAAGTCGCACAGTGTACACCCGGCTTAACCCAACTACCTCCTTCCCCTGTCCAAACGGAGTTGAAGAGCGCTGCTTATCGTGGCTGCATGCACTGATGTTTGGAGAGTCCTCTACCCTACCTCCCCACCTAGTGGACACTTACGTTGTGTGATGTCTGAAGTCTGTTGCATTTCTGTCTGAGGTGTTTTTTGGATAGTAAAGCTGCCCTCCCTGTGGAGGGTAACTCTGAAGTGCCTTTTTTCCTCCACCTGACTCAATCCTCATGTAAACCCTCTTATCTCTATTAAAGTAGCGCGACTCGGGTTGCGAATGACCACAGTCACCAATTCTTGCCATGTGTCTATGCCTATGTATGTCTGATCTCAGAATTGTGTGTACTGAAACTCTAATTTCCCTCTGGTATTAATAAAGTATCTCTGAATTTTGAATTGAACTGAATCTAACTATGGGGAATGCGGTAATAGACAACATTTCACTGAGGTGGAATATCCCTTCAAAAATGAACTAAGTAATCACCAAAACACCATCAATAAATAACAGGAAAAGAAAAAGCTGATCTCTCATCTGAATTTCATGTGTTGGAGCATGAACCTGGCTTTGTTTAAAGCATTAAAACATAATCAGGTCAGAAAACTGAGTTGTTTTCTACTCAAAGGGATGGTACAATGTGGCAGGTGTGAGCAAACGCTGACCCTGGTGTAAGAGCGTTTTAGAGACTGGCAGTTCAGCTGGTGAGGTGGTGAAGTACAGTTGTGACTGTTTCTGGGTCCTCAACAGTAATGACTGAACAATAAACCAGAGTAAATATTCGGAGTTTATTAACAAAAACTCAGTAGTTTCACAGTAGAAATAAATAGCTCAGCAGTCAAACTTCAGAAATGAAATGGTCTAAAGTCGTTTTGTAGGTGAAGCGAAGGTGATGTAGTTCAAATGTTCTCATGTCAGAGCTTCATTAGACAGACTACAGGACATGTTCTAGATCCAACAGAATCTGGACTCAAACATTAGAACTAAAGTTTGTTATCCGTTTCATCAGAGAGGACTTTCTAGTTTCTCCAACTAGTGGTTGTCTGAAACTTCCAACAACATTATGAATGATCGTCTGACCTCTCCGTTATTGCTTTAAGGACGAACGGCTCATGGCAGCATGGCCATCTCCAGGCAACATCTCTGACTCCAGTTTCATCCCATCTGACGGAGTTGTGTTTCTGAGTGGAGGCCCTGCGGAGGAACGGCTCGATCCCAGCAGCTCGGCTCAGTGCAGTTTGACCGTTGTGAGGAGCTCAGGGGTTGTTGGGGTTGGTGCTGATGGTGGTGTGTTGACTGTAGTCTGAAAGAAGTAGAGCTGAAAGGGAAACAGTGAAATCAGCTGTTGTGGTTTACTCTGTGTGTGTGTGTGTGTGTGTGTGTGTGTGTGTGTGTGTGTGTGTGTGTGTGTGTGTGTGTCTGTGTCTGTGTCTGTGTCTGTGTCTGTGTCTGTGTCTGTGTCTGTGTCTGTGTCTGTGTCTGTGTCTGTGTCTGTGTCTGTGTCTGTGTCTGTGTCTGTGTCTGTGTCTGTGTCTGTGTGTCTGTGTGTCTGTGTGTCTGTGTGTCTGTGTGTCTGTGTGTCTGTGTGTCTGTGTCTGTGTCTGTGTCTGTGTCTGTGTCTGTGTCTGTGTCTGTGTGTGTGTGTGTGTCTGTGTGTGTCTGTGTCTGTGTCTGTGTGTGTGTGTGTGTGTGTGTGTGTGTGTGTGTGTGTGTGTGTGTGTGTGTGTGTGTGTGTGTGTGTGTGTGTGTGTGTGTGTGTGTGTGTGTGTGTGTGTGTGTGTGTGTGTGAGATCACTGACTTTACAGCCAACGGCCAACAGCATATGCAGGAGGATGATGGTTACCACGGTGCCCACAGCCATCGCCCTGGTGTCATCACGGACAACGGGCCAGAATGTGAGGACTAGTACTGAGCCAGAGATCACCATGGCAACCACAATCAATGTCCACTGCAACCATTCAAAAGGTATGGTCCACAAGATCTGAAGATTACAAGATGCACAAATCAGCCATAATTGCATGACCATCTGCTACCAATCTCTCCGACTCCCACAGACGTCGGACTCCTAATTCACGACTACAGAACAGACGCGGTACGATTTCCGTACGGCTTCTGGACTGACTGCCATTCATACCAGCTGTGGTGTGTGTGCTTGACTGTCCTGCGTGTTTCTGCATTTCCCTGCGATGGACTAGCAACCTGTCCAGGGTGTACCCCACTTGTATGCCTGGAGACTGCTGGAGAATGGCACCAGCCACCCCGCAAGGATAAGCAGGTGAAGAAAATGGATGGATATACAAGATGTACCTTGCTGAAACACGTCTCACTTCCTGTCTGGCACATGTTCATAAAAATCGAGAAGGACCTGGCTGCAGCACGCAGAAAAGGGTGGCGTCGGCCAGTTGTCAGACTCATACCATATTTGGAAATGACGCATTAGCATTCCCATTAGCACACGCGTGATGGCAAGGGACATGTGCAGTAGTCACCATGTTGTATCAGATTCAGTGGTGTAGTGGTTACAGTGTTAGACTGGTGTGTCGGTTCGCCTCCTGGTCCCGGCATAAACTTAATTTTTTTTATTTTTTAGCAACACTTGCCAGTATTCTGTTTTCAACACTTTATATTGGTAAACAGTTTAAAACATGAGGGCTAATCTGTTTATTCTTTACTTTCCTTGTTTATTTAGCCAGTGTGAGTCCATGTGTGAGCAGAGGAACAACTAAAATGCGGCTTAGAAACGACTGTGGTTAGAAACGACCACATTCAAAGATCTTTAGAGACATAAAATATTTAGCAGAAAAATTCATTACTGCCGACACCACCTAGAGTCGAACTCTATTTTTTACTAACCATGGATTTGATAAACTGGTCATTCAGTGCGATCGATAAGATTTTTTCAACAATGAGAACGGAGCAGGGGGCTCCCAAATGTCCACAGGGGACACACCCGGTGGGGTATATGTTGGATTCCTGGAAGGAGTGGAAGATCGTATGCCTCTCCCAGCTGTCCATTGAGGATGTCGTAGACGTGTGGATATTTGGTCTGATTATCACTGGATTTCTCCTGATTGGAGTGGGAGGATATCTGAGCGATTGGAGGGCGACCCGCACCCACGGAAAGCACCGTCCGTGTGGAGACTTCTCAGACTGGGACGTTACTCGAGGTGAATCGTAAGCTGGACAATGTCCTAGCTGCGATACCGATATTAGTGCGCAAAATGGATGTCATCTCGGAGAGAGTCACTGGACGGTATGGACAAGTTTAAGTTTAAAACCCCAAAATTGGCTTCACTGAAGGACTGGAATGATCAGTTTAAAGACTGAAGGCAGAGAGGAAAATTATCTCAGCCTGACCCAAACAAATTCTTGTTATCTGAATCTGACGCCGTGGTAGCCTTGAGCTGCAAGCAAATAAAACCCCCCACGAAGGAATGCAGACAGATGCTGTGAAAACCCGACCTACCCCCCCGCCTTCGGATTGGTGGACTTCAGCCTGGCGAGGTCATCAGCTGGAGGAGTCTCCCTCCCACCTGTGACTGTACAGTAGATGAGTGCCATAGATAGCTGCTCTCGCTGGGGGAAACAGGATGCCAGCCCCGCCCTGCCTTCCTATTGGAGTCTCATGTTGTGAACTGTTGATGTTCGTGCTTATATGTTTGAGGTGATTTTTTTGCATAGCAAAGCTACGCCCTGTCGGGAGTAACTCTGGAATGCCCTTTTTCCCCCTCCCCAAATCTATCCTCATGTAATCCCCTTTTCATCTAAATGAAATGAGCGCCATTCATGGCTGCTCTCGTGGTCTGCCTGTATCCGTTTTGTCTACGTGTGTGTGTGTGTGTGTGTGTGTGTGTGTGTGTGTGTGTAACCTTGGTCAGGCTGTGCTGCGAAGTCAAATTCCTACGCTTCAGGACGCTGGAACACTGGCAATAAAGCTTTTCTGATTCTGATTCTGATCAGCAGAGGGCGAAACGAAACAAAAGTCAGACAACAATGCCTCTACACTACCACAGATAATACACAACATACTTTGGAGCGTTCAGAGATTTGCTGAAAGGAACCTTTTCATTATGGGATATAAATTCAGACCTTGTCATGTAGCAAATCATATTTATCTTGCTTCATTTGAACATAGAACAGAGTATTAACAATTGTAAACTAGTAACAGCTGTAGTTCATGTGGGTCTGACTTTTCTGTGTGCTGCAGCCAGGTGTACTTGTGAAAATCTGCATGAGTCGTCTGGAAAAAAATAATAGAAACGTGCATCTGTGTCCACACCACAGCTGGTGCGAATGCTCTGACTGGACTCAATGATTGTTGGTGTCTGTGGAAGCCGTACGGAGAGCAGACTGCCTCTGCTCCGTACTCGGTGTGAGGGTATGCCGTGGGACCTGCAGGTCCTTGCAATCAAAGCAGACAAATCCTGGGGAAAATGACTGAAGGGAGGATGTACTCACTGATGTGGGAATGAAGATGAAGAGGGAGTATCCGTAGACACACACCGTCTCCAAGAAGGAATAGGCTCCCATCTGCCTCTCAGTCCCTTGCCTCCAGGTCAGAAACGCCCACAGGCCAATGGGAACCAGCCAGGCATACATAAAGATCACCACTGCAGCGATGGTTACTGGAGAGAAACAAGACAGACTCGGTGAGCTAAGGTCCAACAGGGATCAGGTCTTTCTGGACCTGTGAGGACCTGACCTCTGTGGAACTGGGGTCTGTAGTGGTAGCTGGAGTTTCCCATCTGGCTGAAGAAGGTGGACAGATTCCCACTGATGGCTACAGAGAACACCAGCGTCACACAAATCCAGAAAGGTCCTACACAAACACACACGATGAAGACACAAGTCACCATGAAGGTTCTGCAAGTGTGCGATGTGGAATTCTGTTTCAGGTTATCTACATTTTATTTTCTGCCTGCAGCAAATTTCCAGGTTTTCTGCAAAACCCACAGACATTATATATTGATGGACCCCCTATTGGCCGCTGGGACGCAGGAAATCTTGGACCAAAGTTGAGTTACAGGCTGGTATCTATACATGTTCATGGTATAATATTATAATTGATTGATTATTCAATTCAAGTTTATTTATATAGCGCCAAATAACGAGTTGTCTCAAGGACCTTCACACGGTAAACTTTCCAATACAAGTCAGGTCATTAAGCCAATCAGTAAAACGTTTCCTATATTTAATATAAATATTAATAAAGTATCTTTGAATATAAGGAACCCAGCAAGTATATCCTGTCTAATCATTATGAACACCGACTACAGCGAAATCCTCAGATGCATCCATGCTGCTCAGTACCAGACCTGTATGATGTCACTAGTTACTAAAGAACCAATCAGCTGGCAGAGCTGCTGTTGAAGTGTGAGCTGCACAACTTGCAAAACGACGTGACTCAACTTAAGCAACAAAGCAGAGTCCAGCTGCTGTTATTTATTTGTTGTTGGTGTTTATAGAAAAATAAATAACTGAAACAGCTCTTCTTAGGGTCTCCAATGACCTTCTGACCCACAGTGATGCAGGGGACTGTTCTGTTCTGGTCCTGCTGGGCCTGACTGCAGCCTTTGACACTGTTGACCATCACCTGCTATTGGAGAGGCTGAGAGACTGGGTAGGCCTATCAGGAACTGCTCTGGAGTGGTTCTCCTCTTATCTTTCTGAGCGCTCCTTCTCTGTGGCCGTCTCCAAGTTTAGGTCCTCCACCACCTCCCTTACCCATGGTGTCCCACAAGGTTCTGTGCTGGGACATCCACTGTTCCTCAGCACAACTCTTACCATCTTTATGCAGATGGCATCCAACTGTACATCTCCTTTAAGCCCCATGAGATGTCTAAGCTGCAGCTGTTACACACCTGCTTAGACTCTATCAAAACCTGGATGGCTGGGAGCTTTCTACAGCTGAATGAAGATAAGACTGAGATCCTCATCTGTGCCCCAGACAAGCTGGTTCCCAAAGTCAGAGACTCTCTTGGTCAGCTTGCTTCCCACACCAAACCTTCTGTCAGGAATCTTGGTGTGACCTTTGACCCAGCTCTCACCCTGGATTCTCATGTCAGTTCTCTTGTTCGCTCTTCCATCTTCGATCTCAGGAACATTGCTAAGCTGAGTCCCATTCTGTCCCGCTCTGAACTTGAGACAGTTCTCCACACCTTCATCTCCTCATGCTTAGACTACTGTAACTCTCTTTTCACGTGTCTGAGCAGAACCTCCCTGAACCGTCTACAGGTGGTTCAGAATGCCTGTGCTCGGCTTCTGACCAAGTCCTCCAAACACACCCACATCACCCCGCTTCTCCTCCAGCTTCACTGGCTGCCAGTCAACTTCAGGGTAGTCCCTACACCCCCAGCAGGTCCCTGAGGTCCAGTGATCAAAGCCTACTGGTTGTGCAGCACCAGGCTAAAGACCAAAGGTGACAGATCATCTGCTGCTGTGGTCCCCAGACTCTGGAACTCTCTCCCCCTGAGCCTGAGATCAGTGGACTCAGTGATCTCCTTTAAGAAGCAGCTGAAGACTCACTTGTTCAGGTTTTGGTGTGACCGTCATCACCCTTTTCTTTTTCTGCTCTCCCCACCTATTCCACCTTCCTCAGGATCCACTGATTTTCCTCTTTCCCTTTACTTACATTTTTAAACACACTTTTTTTCTCCTTTAAACCATATTTTTTAATCATTAAAAAATAACTGTTTTATATTTTAAACTTTTGCTCTTATAAAGCGCCTCGTGATTTTTAACTTGAGAGGCTCTATATAAAAGATTGTTTTCTATCGATGTCTACGGTAAACCACCTGGTGATTCATACAGACATGGTTCCGTTTACTGTGCCCATCTGCTGTCCCGTGTGTCCTTGATCAAGTTAGAAGAAACAATCTGCCAGGTTAGTTCTGCTAACATTGTCCACCAATAAAGTTTTATTGAAAGTAAAGAGACATGTCTGTGTGCTCACCATAAAGGTCTGGGTTGCTCCTAAGGTAGTGTTTGATGAAGTTTCTTCCAGGTAACGGCATCACGGAGCCCTTCACTCGGTCCAGCACCTGCATGGATGAACAGTCCATGCAAAATGATGGAAGACTCACAATGGACGCCACAGCAGCACCCAGTATGTTTTTGTAGACAGGCTGTGGCAAAAGCACATCCGCATACCTGCACTGTGTCCACGTTAAACAAGGACTGATAGTACTCAAAGGTCCAGAAGCCCCCTCCTGGTTTGTGTCCTTGTAAAAGCTGGAAGTACAGACCAGAGCTCAAGAGGTTTTATCTACAGGAAACTGCTGTACGAAACTTTGTTGGGGCTCAAAATGACCCCTGATGAATGCCTACACATAACTCCATAATAAAAAGACAGGTGTGCTCCACGCACTCGGCCAGGATAGGAGTATTACATGAGCTGCATGCTGATTGGTTGGTTTAGCCCAATGGCTCTATGACACTACCTGAAGTTAGAAATGCTGTGTACAATCGTGTGAAGTTTCAGGATAACTGAATAGGAAGACTATCGTTCAAACTGAGGATATTCCCGGTGCATCCTGGAACGTTACATGGATGCTCCGACTTTCTTCTTCGTTTTCTTCTCATTGGATAAACAAGTAGCACGGGCTACATCGTCCTGCAGTTGGCATGACTGTGACCAACATTTTCATATCGCCTATGTTGAAGTGTGTTGGGACGTGTTAATTTAAAGTGGGCATACATGTTTTATTTGATTAAATGCACAGTGGTCTTTAGTCGGAATGAATGTCATGTTCAGTGGAAAAGCTCTGGCGCTCCTATTTCAGGACTCAGAAGTTTGTCCAAGGAGTGGGGAACAGAAAATGGAAGGATTTGGAGTCTCACGCACTAATATTCATGACATGCGACATCTCTCCTCTATCAGCAATCACCAATGCCTTTGTTCGCTCTTCTTTCTTGGGTAAAAAAAAATTGCAACATCCACATTGCTAATGCTAAAGGTTAGCTTCTACTATCGGAGACGCGCTCTGCTCTCTCCTGGATGCCAAAACAACTGCTTTCCCCGTCAGAAGCCAGAATGGGTGAGTCCATGAATGCAAATTTTCACCGTGACGTAGAACTGTCAGGCTTTTCTAATCTGAGAGTGTCACCGTCTATTTTCTGCCAGCGGATAATGCAGGGAAGAGAGGCAGAAGACCATTTTCATGTTCAGCCTGCATGTGAAACTCAGAGGGACAGATCGAATTTAAAAAATAAGTAAAAAAAAAAAACCAGTTTCTCAGTGAACCTCACTTTTAAGGGTGTGCGTCTACGCCTATAACGTGTTAAACCAGCGTCTCTTAGAACAAACCGCTGCTCCGTGGTCTTTACAACAGTACTAATTTACACAGGAAGGCATGTCGGAGATGACACTGGAACATCAGACACCTGAAGCTGCCCACAATCAACAAGGTAGATTCAGTTTGAATTCTAGGACCCCCTTAAAAGATACAGGTGTTTTGGTCCTGATGAATCTTTCACCTCTGAACTCTCCTCCTGAGCCTCCTCGTCCTCTGATAGGTCCAGCTTCACGTCCTCTCCAGCCGTTAAGGTGGGAATGTTTGAAGGTGAGATGCTGAGTGTGGGGGCCCCAGGGTCAGCAGACAACAGCTCTGCTGCTTCCTCAAACTCTACAGACAAAGAAGAACATGAAGCAGGTAGGGCTGGAAAGAAAACATGGAGACACCACGAATGACATCACTGACAATAAAGGACTGAACGTATTTAGGCAAGTTAACGACAGACATAAACAAAGTGTGTGCAGCAAATTGTGTCAAGTGCAGGTCCTGACAAAGTCGACCCGTTTCATCACCAGAATCACCAGCTGAAGAGCCGAATGTGAAACTTTTCAGATAACAGCGAGTCCTCAGCACGCCCCCAGAGCCGCCTTTCTCCAGCATCAGGCCTCACAACAACAAAGATCTGAGCATGAGCACCTCTGTTTTATTGCCGTTTTGATCAATTTTCACTGATAGAAAACATTTTGTTTTTGTCACTTTAAATTTCTGCTTCATTGCTTTTTCTTAAACAAGCACAGAGATTTAGTTTGAATCATTCTGAAACAGAAGAATGCATCCACGTTGATGTTAGTTTTAAATAAACAATTTTATTCATCCAAAACAGTTAAACTATAAAAGTTTTGAAATCTTTAAAATCAAATATAATCTTATGATGTCTTCAAATCTCACCTAAAAGTAGCAGAGAACATTAAAGACTGACAGAAAAAGATAATTGTTTTTAATGCGTCCTTGTTTTAAAGTGATAGTGTGTATTTTTCCTGGTGATTGGGCGCAGTAGATACCTAAATTGTTGCAAGCAAGCTGTTTTTTTCTGTTGGAGTAAGACCTCATTAACGGATCCCCATTTGGGTCAAAAGGACCTGGGGAGTGCAAACTTCGGCTAAGTGACAATCACATCAGACTCCCTTTCATCAGTGGCAATGCGTAAAGAGGTAAATGTGTAAAGCAACGCTTATGCATTTGTTTAAAGTTTTGTAACCGTTTGTTACAAGTCAGTAAATGCATTTTGTCCTCAAGGGCTCCCATAGAAGGAAACATGGCGTCTAATATGGCGTCGCCCTGAGACTCGGGCCCAATCTCAATACTCGCACTGCGCCCTGCGGTCTTCAGCAAAAGAGCACTTGGAGAAAGTGTGCAGTAGGGTTCGAGTGCGTAGTACACAAGTCTGCAAATATTAGCAGACTTGAGACAGGGAGCATTGCATCATTGATCACAACGCATGCCGTGATGCTGGCCGCTGTGAAACTTTTTCAAAAACCTTTATTAACAATTTTCAAACACACAACAAAGCAATTATTTGAAATAAATTTAACTTCATTGCTGCTTTGTCTAAAACATTCAGAGAATCAAATAATTGTCCTAAAATTTACTAATTTCATTAGAAAATACATATTTTCAGAAAAGGAACTTGAGCCGTTTCTCCTGCAGGAAGGCTGGGACACCTTACGCACTCGCACCCCTGGCCGGGAACGCGTAAATGAAGGGCGCGAGGGTGCAAGTGCGAGAATTGGGATTGGGCCTTAGACCCTCACCCACGTTATTATGGTTATGTGTTACGAAGTCAAATTCTATTCAGTTCAAATTCAAAAATACGTTATTAATCCCAGAGGGAAATTGATTGCTGTAGTAGCTCAGAATAATAATAATAATCAAGTCATCAAAGGATTATTGTATATTACAATGGCTGTTGGCAGGAAGGATCTCCAGTAGCGGTCAGTGTTGCAGCGAAACTGAAGAAGCCTCTGACTGAAGACACTCTTCTGTTGTCGGACAGTCTTGTGAAGAGAATGCTCAGGGTTGTCCATAATTTTCTTAATTCTCTGGAGAATCCTTCTTTGCATTATCTCCTCCAGCGGTACCACAGTCGTCCCCAGAACAGAACCAGCCTTTTTTATTAGGCTGTTGAGCCTTTTCAGGTCCCTGCTTCTGATGCTGCTACCCCAACAGACGATGGCTGAAGAGATTACACTCTCAACAACAGACTTGTAGAAGATCTGCAGCATCTTGCTACAGACATTGAAGGACCTAAGCGTCCTCAAGAAGTGCAGTCTGCTGTGTCCCTTCTTGTAAACGGCTTTGCTGTTCTTTCTCCAGTCCAGTCTGTTGTCCAGGTGAACTCCAAGGTACAGGTCTCTGATTTGTACTGGAAGTCTGAGGTGTACAGGGTGAAAAGGAATGGTGAGAGTACAGTCCCCTGTGGTGCTCCAATGTTACTGATCGCCTGGTTTGATGTGCAGTTCTTCAGCGTCACAAACTGTGGTCTGTTTGTCAGGTAGTCTTTAATCCAGGCGATAGTTGAGGCTGGATTGTGTTAAATGCACTGGAGAAATCAAAGAACATGACCCTGACAGTGCTGCCTGCTTTGTCCAGATGACAGTGGGTTGGTTGAAGCAGCTGGATGATGGCATCTTCAACTCCAACTCCATGGTGATAAGCAAACTGCAGCGGGTCCTGATATGTCCTAGTTTGCTTATTCAGGTGGACCAACAGGAGTCTCTCCAGGACCTTCATGATGTGGGATGTCAGGGCAACCGGTCTGTAGTCGTCATTTACTGACTGTCGGTGCGCCCCAGGGCAGCTGTGGCTACATCGTAGCTCATCACCATCAGTGTGTGAATGTGTGTGTGAATGGATGAATGATACACTGTAGTGTAAAGCGCTTTGGAGTCCTGACTCTGAGAGGCGCTATCAGTGCGTTTACATGCAGCCAGTAACCCTTTTAAAACCTGAATATTCACAATAACCCGGTTCCACAGGTCCATGTAAACACCGCCAGAAACCCGGATATGCTCATAACCGGGTTTTTAAAAACCCGGTTACTACACCTGGGGTAACCCTTTTCTAACCCGAATGTTTGGACGTGTAAACGCATACCGGGATATCCCCATCAAAGTATGTGTTCTGCGCATGCTCTGTTCACAAGGAATCTTGGTCTTTTGAGTAGCGAGACGTCTTGTATGCGCCAGAACACCGGAAGTACTCGTACGTACTCTCCTTCGAATGAAGGCCAGTACGCACAGTCGTTGTAAGAGCTGCTGGTGGGTCAATACCAGCACTAAAGCATAAACAAACGCGGTCGCTATCTCTTCCGAACTGGGAAACATGTTGTTGTTTTCACAGATACCGGAACGAGAAGAACCGGAAATGACGCATATTGCGTCTTGACGTAGTCCATACGTCCTGACGCTACCCCAACGTCCTCATTTACATCGGGTTATGCAAGTTAGAGGTAACTCTTTCTATTTATGCTTGTAAACGGGTTATTCTGATCAACTCAGAAACCCAAATACCGACCTTAACCCGATCATAACCCGGATATTGGCTGCATGTAAACGTACTCTATACAAGTGTGGGTCATTTATCATTCATTAAAAGTAACCAATCAGAAAAAAGACAGAAATGTTGACTGTACCGCGCGACGCGGTAGTTTCTTATTTGTAGTAAAAAAAGGCGTCTGGCAACAGCGCAGACATCTTTCTTTAGCAGAAAGGCTTTTAGCGCTTCCACTTGTGGTGTTGTGTTGGGTTTTAAAGACGTTTCCAAGTCATTTAGAAGAGAGGAAAGAGCCGCAGTGAACGCCACTTCAGTCGCCATGTTTATGGCAAACTCGGCGCTGTGGTGTGTGACGCACGCTACTCAGAGCTGATTGGCACAGTGACAGTTCTCAGGGGGCGAGGTTATTTGAATAGGAGAGTTCCCAGACTCTTTCTCTGTGCAGAATTAAACAGAGGAGTCTGGCAGGCCAGGCTACAAACTCTCAGCCCCTTGTTCATGCTTAAGGCTCGTTTTGAACACGTGAGTCACTCTGGCTCTGTGAGGAGAGACACCCCACCTCCATGACCCAGATGATGGCTGGATGCTGGCTCCTGACCTTTGCTGTAAAAATGACACGTTTGGATATTTTCTGGACGTGTTCCTAAGATTGTGACCAGCAGATGTCTCCATTCACCTCTGCTTCAGAACACCATTCTTATTTGTAACCGAGTTGAAGGCAGCAGAAGACGGTGTGAGGAAAGAGACTAACACGCACCTTGGAACTGCAGGTCGTTGGGACTGGCCATGGCTTTAGGAGACACACCTGGATGGGAAAGGAAAACGGGATGAGACCTGGTGAATAAAGACTAAACAGCGAAGAATACCCCACATTTAAAGAGAAATAAATACCCTACACGCGATTTATTCCAACGTGGTAATAATATAGGAAGCAAGACAGGCCTTACGGCGGCTAAATAAAGTCCTCTTTAAAACAAAAACAACCCACCTTTCGGGCTCACGGACCACCGTCAGGAGCTAGAGAGCTGCCACTGGCGTTCTAATGACAGCTGCTTCCGGTACACGTCACCACGTAAACACAGCTGTCACGTGACTAGGGAAAGAGGAAAATACTCGGGAAGCTTCTTTTTCTCCCGTTTTTATCTTATTTTTTTCAATAAATTTTCTGTGAAATTTGCAACATTAGAAGCAAGACGAGAAACACACGGATAGCAAACAGGAACAAACGACATGCACACAAACAACGCGTAAGTAATAATTTAACTGGCGTTATTTCACACGTAATCCTATCGTATAATCCAAGCAGATGTGCTTTTTTTTCTGCCCTGGTTGTGAGATAGGCGAGAGGTGAGCTCCACCTGCTGTTGATGGGACGGGCATGCCCGGATCTTCCAGAACCGTGAGCTGCGGCTGTGCGCGCCGCCGTATTGACATGCCTTGCTGCCGTGTTGCCAGGCGGTGTTGACGGAGCTTCAGTCCCGAATGTTTTTCTTTAGTTTTCACTCATCAGCCATAGATCGCTGCTCTTGCTCACAGCAAGCTGGGCTTCCTACCGTGGTGCCCAAGGGCGTAGCAACGAGTTTAATATTGGGGGGGACACATTTTGGAAATCTAACAAATCTGTTGTAGGTCAATATTTAGGTCAACTTCACTGAAAAAATACATTTAATGATTATTTCTGATTCTAACGTGTCACTGAGTGTTTCATGCAGGCTGAACATGAACATAGTCTCCTACCGCTATCTCCTGCATTAGCTTCTGATAGACAGTGAAACTCTAGGATTAGAAAAGTCTGACAGATGTGACTCAGGGCATAAGGCAAAGCCCAGAAAGACAAGGAAATAACTTTTATAGCCCAGTTCACTAACATTCAGGTTTTTTTTTTGTGTGTGTTTCTTTTTTTTTTTTTGGATGGGGGACCCATGAGCCAGCCAGAAGGGGAGGAGACTTGGGCTCCCCATTAGCCAGATCCAGGTGCTTACCGGCCAACGTGGACGTTTTAATAAAAAAAAGTTGTTTATGTGTCAGTACTGTTTTATTTTTATTTAATAATACGAATGTAGGATATATTATCTTATACACATGGGTAGAGATGTGTAAACAGATTTGCATATTCAGTCTAAATTGATCTGACTCTCATCAGAATATTTTAAACTACATCAGCCAACAATGCTGACCAACAATCAGAAAAACCTGTTTGCTTCTGACAGAATGAAAAAAGAAATAATTCACTTACAACAGCAGCTGGAACTACATTAATTTTCAGACAAACAAAAGAAAAAACAGTGGCCAAAACTGCAGTCTAAATGCACCAGAAAGCAGAGTTTAACACTTATTTTTCTAATATTTCTAAGGAAGCATTTATTTTATTCTTAAGCCGTACTGCCCAGCCCTCCTTGTTGGGATTAAATACGTTCAACTGTGTTCACTTATTATCACATCCAAATCTTCCTCTCATCAGCAACCTAAAATCATCTCGCTCTTCACTGTAGCACCTCAGCAGGTCTGGCTCTCACTGTCTCACCCTCAGCTGGTCTGGCTCTGCCTGTCTCACCCTCAGCTGGTCTGGCTCTGCCTGTCTCACCCTCAGCTGGTCTGGCTCTTACTGTCTCACTCTCAGCAGGTTCCTGCTGAACTTCATTTGATCTCTAATATAAAAACAGTGGACAGGAATAAGGAGTAAAAAGTACTGTTGGAGGACTAGTGCAACATTAAAATCATGGTGGTTATAGTATTATTTAGTCGCGTTCACTTGTTATCATGCTCGAATCTTCCTCTCATCATCAACCATCTAAAATCTCACTCCACTGTAGCACCCACCTACACCTCAGCAGTTCTGGGGCTGCCTGTCTCACCTTCTTCATCATTTTCCTGCTGAACTTCCTCTGGTCTCTTATATGAAAAAAGTGACATGAATAAAGTTTCAAAATAAAATGTGATGAGAATGTCACAAACAAGCAACAATCACACTTACAAATTCCATTTTTATGTGGAGATGCTACTTTTTTTTTATTTCGTGTCAAATGGTTTTTGTCTGTTACTGTCAAATTCCCCATTTTTCGTTGACTAGTAGTGTTGTTTAATGTTTAATGCTGCCTAGCAAGATGTTTACGTTAGTCAGCCAGTCTAACGTTTGACCAGAAATACAATTATCCTCTTGGACTAAATCATTACCAACTCACAATTCCTTTCTTTCTTTTTTGCCCATGAGAAGAACTTGCTGAGCTGCTGTCCTCCTGGCTCAGACTCCCGCTTCACTCAGCCAGCCTGTCTGACTCCCTGACGGGAGGGGCCGTGTCAGTGAGAAATCCGCAGTCTTCCAAAATAAAAGCTCGCGAGTCAAATATTTCAAAATCAATTTTTTTCTTCTCCAAGTTATTGGGGGGGGGGGGGGGGGGGGGGGGGGGGGGGAAGACAAATGTGCGTTTGTCCAATATTGAAGGGGACACGTCCCCCCCCCCCCCCCCCCCCCCCCCCCCCCCCCCCCCGGTTTCTACGTCCTTGGTGGTGCCTGACTCACATGTTCCCTCTGTAAAGTCAGAGGTACGGAAGAGGATTAGGGCCACTGAAAAGAAAAAAGGAAGAAAAGAAAGAGCTTTCAGACTTTTTCCCCAGAATTCCCTGTCAGAATTCCGAGGTAAGAATTCTCTGTCTTTTCTTTTTTTTTTTTCCTTGTCAGTACAGAGTAGAAATAAATAAATAACTTCAATATTGTAGCGGTCTGCGCTGCCCTCTGACGGGATGTGTGTATATCAGCAAAGAAGAGTCAACAGGTAGCAGACATAGAACACTTTTAATAGCCGGATGGCTCCCCTTTTCATCCCCCTCACATACATTTAACTCACGGTGCCAACAGGCACTGGATAAGAGCAACACAGCGTGAACACCGAACTGAAGCAAACAGCACTAACATAACCCCGAACAATTTAACCCTCAGAACAACACAAGCGGAATAAACAAACCCAATTTACCCTCCCCCCAGAGTGCAATGCAGCCTTGCCGGCCTATCAGTGGCAGGGCCGCCACATAGCCCCCCCCCCCCCTTTCAAAGTCCTGGAGCCGGTCCCACTTTTTACCCCCCAAGCCCATCCGCAGCCCCATCAGCAGCCGGTTGCCCCCCGGTCTGTGGCTGGTACGGTGCCAAATGGTCCTTGTGGAGGACCACTCGCCTCGTCCAGGCAGGCGAGCCCGGAAGACCACCGCAGAGATCTGGTCCAAAATTTCTGCGGGTCCTTGCCAGTGGCTCATCAGTTTGGGGGACAGGCCCTTCTTCCGGGTCGGGCAGTAGACCCAAACCTTGTCCCCCAAAGCCAATGAGGGTCCATGAGCTCTGGAGTCATACACCCTCTTCTGGCGAACCCCAGCCACTAGCAGGGTGGTCCGGGCCAGCTGGTGGACTTCTTCCATCCGCTCCTTTAGGCGTCACACATAATCCAGTCCCCCCCCCCCCACCACCACCACCACACACACACAAACTCTGGTTCCGGAGCCAGCCCAAACACTAGATCCACTGGCGTCCGGAGCTCCCTCCCGAACATCAGCGCCGCAGGAGTGCTCTGACTGGACTCTTGCACCGCAGTGCGGTACGCCCACAACACCATAGGCAAATGTACATCCCAGTCTCTCTGATGTTTGCTGGTGAGGATCGCCAGCTGAGTCGCCAGAGTGCGGTTAAACCGTTCCACCAGCCCGTCACTCTGGGGATGCAACAGAGTGGTTCTAGTCTTTGTCACCCCCAACCGCTGGCACACCTAACTGAACAACTGGCTCTCAAAGTTTCTCCCCTGATCGCTGTGCAGCTCATCAGGTACTCCAAAACGAGAGAACATCTCGTCCACCAACCGCTGAGCTGTAGATGCAGCACTTTGATCCAGCATTGCGTACGCTTCTGGCCACTTGGTGAAGTAGTCCATGGCTACCAGAACGTAGCGATTTCCAGCCTCTGTAGTGGGAAAGGGCCCGAGGTTGTCCACCCCGACCCGTTCCATCGGTGCTCCAACCAGGTACTGTTCTAGCGGCCCCCGGGAGCGCTGAGTAGGCCCTTTTTGGCTGGTGCAGACGTCGCAGCAGTGAACGTGGTGTTCCACGTCCTGACGGCAGCCCGGCCAGTAGAACCTCCGCCAGAGCCGTAGCACCGTTTTGCTGTTGCCAAAGTGTCCCGTCCCCGCTGCCCCATGAAACTAGAGGACTTTTGCTCGAAGGTTTCGTGGCACCATCAGCTGCAGGCGGTCCATCCCTCCTCCCGGTGCCTGCCAGCGCCGATACAGCACATCTCCATGCGGCTCCAAGCTGCCGAACTGTGAGTGCAGGTTCTTTAATTCAGCCCCACGCAAGGATACGGTGGGCCACTCTGGTCTCCGGGCGTCCTGAACCCAGGTCCTCACCTCCGCCAGAGTTGGATCAGCCTTGTTGTATGGAGTATAATCAGACTTGTTAATGTATGGAATTAAGTCTGGATTATGTCTCTCATGATGTGAAATCAATTCTAGGCTCTACAAGATGTATCTGTGTGTGTGTGAAACCGCGCTAAAGGCCTGTTACCTTCTCTTATCATGTTTGTGTGTGTGTGTGTGTGTGTGTGCGTGTGTCCAGGCAGCCTTCTAGCCCCCTGAACTGTGATGTCATACATTAGTGATGTGCCTTCACTAGGGATGGGTACCGAATTCTGTACTTTTTAAGGTACCAACCGAATTCCACAGTACCGACCGAGCACCGATTCACTTAATTTGAAACGGTGCCTCGTTTCGGTACCCGTCCTTCACAACGAGAACTTGCCTAGACAGCTGCGCATGCGCAAGAGCGTTATGTCGTCGCTCGCTGCGAGCGAGTTGTAAACAGAGCAGCATGGTAGAAAGAACGCACGCTAAAGCTTGGGTCCACTTCACTAAATGTGATGGGTAACTGGGTGATGATGAAACCAGCGACAACGATCTAAGTGAGACATCCTCATCTTAATCTGCTCTGGTAGATAAATAAAATGTTTAAGATAATGTTAGCTTGATTTGTTAGCTTCCGTTTCACTAATGGTGCGTTCGCTTTCTCCTCGGAACTCCGAAATTCCGACTAGAAGAACAAAGTTTGGCTTCACTTTACTAAATGCGACGGGTGAAGATGAAACCAGTGACAACGATTTAAGTGTGAGGCATCATCGTTTAAATCTGCTCCAGCAGTTAAATAAACTGTTTAAGATAACGTTAGCTTGATATGTTAGCTTCCTATGCTACCATTGT